TGTTTTAGACCCAGTTTAGACCTGATTTAGTTCTGGTGTAGTTCTGGTTTAGTCCTGGTTTAGTCTCAATTTAGTCCTGGTTTAGTCCTGGTTTAGTCTCAATTTAGTCCTGGTTTAGTTCTGGCTTAGTCCTGGTTTAGTTCTGGTTTAGTCCTGGTTTAGTCTCAATTTAGTCCTGGTTTAGTTCTGGCTTAGTCCTGATTTAGACCTGGTTTAGTCCTGGTTTAGTCCTGGTTTAGTCTCAATTTAGTCCTGCTTTAGTTCTGGTGTAGTGCTAGTTTAGTCCTGGAGTAGACCTGGTTTAGACCTGGTTTAGTTCTGGTTTAGTCCTTGTTTAGTCCTTGTTTAGTTCTGGTTTAGTTCTGGTTTAGTTTTGGTTTATTTTTGGTTGGCTTTTGTCTAATTTGAGCAGTTCTTATTTTTGCTGCGATACCACAGTGAAGATTAAATAAATGTTTGGTGAAATGGAACATTTTCTGACTCTGCCTCCTAATTAAGACCACACAGCTTCCCCACTATCTCTGGTTTAAATCTGTTTTTGACTTTTTTTGGACCTGGGTTTGTCCTGGTTCAGTTCTGTTTTTGTGCTGGTTTAGTCTTGGCCGATCACAAGTTTAAATCTGGGTTAGACTTGGTTTGGTCCCGGGTTAGTTCTGGGTTAGTCCTGGTCTATAACTGCTTTATACCGATGCAGTCCTGGTTCTGCAGTGCACTATATCAAAATATAATCTGATGGTTCTGATGGTTCTCCAGGTGATCAGATCATTCGTTGTGTGATGGTCCATGTGCAGGAGGAGCTCCACAGCTCACTGAGCTTCAAGAGTCAGTGACTTGTTCCTTCCATGGACATTTCTCCTGAAAAGGCATTAGGCAAGGCAAGGCAAGTTTATTTGTAGAGCACAATTCGTACATAAAGTAATTCAAAGTGCTTTACAGAATAAGAAATATACTAAAATCATAATAAAAACAAATCAAAACATAAATAATGAAGATTAAAATTAAAAAAGAGAGACATAAATTGGAGAGAAGAGTGCAGAATGAAAACCTTCCAGTTAGATGCACAGTTAAACAGAAATGTTTTGAGTCTGGATTTAAACAGCGTCACAGAAGAGTCTGTCTCACATGTTCAGACTGTTCCAGGTTTTAGCTGCGTGAACCTGAAACTCTGACTCCCCTTGTTTAGTCGTGACTCTGGGCACCAGCAGGAGGCTGGTCCCTGAGCTCCTCAGAGTGTGAGATGTTCATATGACACTAACATGTCACAGATGGACTTTGGTGCTCGACCATGGAGACACTTGTACAAGCAGAGCTGCTTTAAAGTCTCTGAGCCACAGGAGCCAGTGCAGAGACCTGAGCACAGGACGCATGTGCTCGTACTTCCTAGTTCGAGTCAGGACCCGAGCTGCAGCGTTCTGGATGTTCTGGATGTTCTGGATGTTCTGCAGCGTCTCACAGCTCGTTTGGAGAGACCAGTGAGCAGAACATTACAGTATCTAACCTACTGGAGACAAACGCATGGATAAGTTTCTCCAAGTCTGATTTAGACAGTAAACCTTTGATTTTTGCTCTGTTTTTTAGATGGTAAAAGGCTGCACATTAGCATGTTTGATGTTGATGCCAGGGCCTTGGCGCTTGTGCCCGGTGCCCCCAGTTTGCCCAGACCTACAGAGTGGTATCACAGATGATTGACCATGCGGGCGGGTCATACAGGAGCAGGAGGGGGAACATGGGGAACTCTCTTTCCTATTTGTTGTTGGGTTTTTTCACTTTCAACAGTTACAGATGCTTCCCTCACGCTCTGCCCTTTTCCAAGGCCGCTGCGTCAGACCAGTCTCCTCTCACAGGACCAAGTGGGAGAACCATGTGACAATCCCAGGCCGCTCCAGGCACTGAAGTGTTTTGGAGCTGATGTCAGGGCATCTGGCTTTGGAGTTTTTGTTTCCTGTTGTATGAGACACACATGTGAAAAGATAAATACTGTTTATCATGTGGGGTCTTCAGTGTTGTCTCTGGGACCTTCCACCTTCCTCTGAGTCCCCACAGGAGATGGCAGGTGAGGCAGGGCATCTGATCCATGTTCTGGTGCTGTACCTGATCTGGGCTCTGTGGACACACTTACCACTGCTCACTTTGCTCTGCTGACTGCTGCTCTCAGACCCACTGTCTGTAGTTTTACCTGTCACTGCACACTCCACAGGTGCACTGGTGACGGGCGGCAGGTGACGGGCGAGGGGCAAATGTGTCTCAGGGGTTGCCATGACAACAGGCTGGGGATGTAACTCCACATACAAAACATAAAGGCACAACAAACACCCCTCCTCCTCCTCCTGCTCCTCCTGTAGTCTGGTCCAGTCCTCACTGGGCCTTTCTCTGGGCTTTAGACACGGCTCATAACTCTGAGTACACACACACACACACACACACACAGTCCCACACTCAGGTCTGTGTGTGTCAGGACCTGTGTCTGATTTAAATTCACTCTTTGTTTTTGTCACTTTAACACGTACGCACAGTATGTTTCACTCAAATACTGTGATTCAATAAAAATATTACTCAAGTAAGTGTAAATGTAACTGTGTACCATCCACCTCTGAAGATAAGTATACTCAGAGGAGATTTCATGTGACATAAATGAAAAACATGTGACATGAATGCTGAGCTGTGATTGGACACTTGTCTCATGAGCTCTGTGGTTTTGGATCCTCCTGAAGAGGTTC